AATCTAATTTGGCTTTTTATTATCCTGTTTTGACACTAAATAAATTTAAAGAAGTAAGAAATGCTGGTCCTCTAGTTCACTTACTTTTTTTAAACTCTACTATATTATTATTTGATAAATGTCTGTTCTTAATTTTTTAATTCCTCTTATCACAAATTTCATCTCGTTTTTTTCTTTTTTTAGTCTTTTTTAATGCTCCAGATAATTAATAATTTGGAGCTACATCGGTTTTACCCCTCCTATTGTTCCTCTCAAATTGTTGAATGGTAATCAAAGAGCTAGAAAAACTGGTCTTTCGTAGGAGCTAATCCATTTATTGGATGCCCTTTAATCTTAACATTCATGATCGAACATTCTCTAAAAACAAACTATACCGTTTTTATCTTATTTATTATGCCTTTTGTATGCGTATCCATAAATAAAGCTTTTGTAAAGAAATAAAGACCCATTTTTAAATGGAATTTTGGATTAATGGCTTCTTTATCAACCTCAGAGTATTGACTATTAAAAAAAAATGAGAAAAACAAAAATAATTGATATTGATTGATTTTTAATTTAGAGAAGAAGGGATGAAAATTAAACTCAAAAGAAGGCAAGCTGTAAATATTATTTAAAAGATGTTCAAAATATTAGAAAGGAACCAAATTTTTTCTACTAATCTTTTCTCAAAGTTCATAACTGAATGGTATACTCCTGTTCCTTAAAAGTAGCAATAATTCTGATTTTTTTACAAGAATTTTATAAAGAGAATCTAGAGGAACCAGGATAAGAGAAATTAAAAAAATTCAAACAGGCATTGAGCAAAAGATATTCATGATATGTTACAACTTTTTAAGAAGAATTTGAATGAAATGTTTATCTATTACTTGGCCAACAATTAATACATAATATAAGTAGTTAAACTTCAGATAGATCTTTAGCTTTTCACTAATTACTTTTTTTGAGCCAACATTAGTAGCAATTTTGAATAATTATATAAATGAAATATATTATGGAGGTAATTTGATATTGCTTCTAATATTAGCTATATTTCTAAATCTTTCCTGCCAAATTTGATATCAGAAGTTTAGTAATGGAAATAATTAATAAGCAAAATTAAGATGGAAGAATATAATTTCAAGTTGACAAAAATTATGACAAAATGAATGATAATAAAAAGAAGTGTAGTCTATATTATCATTAGTTTTTTGAGTGGTTATGTAAAATTATGATAATTAGTATTGCAAAAGACATATAAATTAATAAAATTAAAGCTTGATATTGAGCAATTTTTTATGAAGAATATGTAATTGCATTTATAGTTAAATTCAATTAAATGCAATTAAAAGAGCTTCGTATGTCTATATATTTACAAGCAAATATGATAATAAAATAAAAATAATTAAGGATAATGCATATTTGACCATTTTATAGATTGTATATAGGATATACTAACATAAATTAATTATTATTTAAAAAACATGAGATTATGATTTTTTAATTCTCATCCTTATTTAAAGCATGTCCATCAATTTTGGCTTTATCTTTCTTTGCGCCAACTTTTATAATTAATAATTTACTTTCTTATAATATTAGAAATTTCAGAAAATTTGAAAGTTTTGAGAAATCCAAAAATAGATTCTTCCTAAATCAGTTGTTGAAAAAAATGATTTGTAAAGACGGTTTAAATCTAGAAAAAATTAAATATAAAAATTGATAAACTTATTTTTGATGTTATCTTTTTATCTTAAAATTATCAAGTTATGAAAATTTTAGCTCTTTTCTTTAAAAAATTTCATATAAATAAACTAATTTTTTATCTAATTAGCTAACTCTAAAACTTTATAACTTATTTCTAAAAGATTTAGGATATCTTCTTCTTATATCTGTGATGAATTTTACAAATTCTTAGAATATTTTTAGTTATAAGGAAGTTGAAATAATCATCATTTGTAATTAATACTAAAATATTGGAGCATAAATTATTCTAAAAAATGAATCAATCAGAAATTAATTTATGTATACTTAATTTATATTTATAAAATTAAATTTTAATAGGTAAATGACACATTCAAAAAATTATCATATCATTTTCAGATATTGTATTGCACAATGTCATCATCTATTTACTCTGGTTTTGACAGAATATCTGGGCTACTTTATTAGTGAACTCTGGTTTTAAGTACATTCTATCTTCTGTTCCATAAAGCACCAGATATGATTAATGAAATCAAAACTACACCTCCCACTGCGCAAACAACTGAAATCAATAAAATATTATCGTTTGAATTGTCTTAAGGTTATTTGAGTCCTTTTTTAGTTTGGTTTTAGAAGACATTTTCTTCACTTGAATCATCATTAGAATTGCCAACATAATCATTTTGTTGAAGGAGATCATCATTGAGAGTCGGATCTACGTATTCTTCATCTCCTTAGTTCACTGGTTCATTTCCATAATAAGGATCATTAGAACCAGAAGGTGAACCAGAGTTGTTGGCAGAAGGATCAGGTTGCTCAGTTGAAGTGAAATTCAAAGAGCTAATAGTTTATATTTCCGCAGTGTTGCTGATGACTGTTCCTAATTCAACAGGGTTAAACGATTGGAGATTAGCAGCAATTTATTCAAGATTTGATTGAGAACTTTGAGCTTCAACTGTGCCTAT